ATTTTTTAAAAGTAAAATAGATAAAAATAAAAATTACTTTTAACTCCTTAATTTAAAAATAAAGTAGAAAAATATTTTATTATTCTGAAATGAAGTGAGTATAAACTTGCTTTGAGGTTGAGTTTAATCAAGTTTTGAACTTATGACTTGTCTATTGGATTGCAATGTACATATAACTGAGTTCCGAGAAAATTTATAGTTTACCTCTATTGTATTAACATAAATAACATGTTACAGACACATCTTTCAAACATATAGGTTTATCATTAATACTTTCCTCCATTAGAAATTTCGAACCTTTACAACAAAAGTGTCTAACATGTGCTGCGAACGCTCTCACAGTCACATGATGACTGTTATTGTGGATTACCATATCAGCTCTCTTCATGATTCAAATATTCTTTTGTGCTCCTGCCACAAACAATATTTTGAAATCATACATGAAGACAAAAACAATCTGCCCTGATTGCTCTTCATGTTCCTTCAAGAGGTTTCTTCATCACCAACTATGTAACGGCTTTTAGTGGTACGCAAGCCAGATGAATGAAGCTACTTTCTCCTCTTCACAAGCTGTAATGCCGTTTTTCTACAATCTTGAGCCTCCATGGAATCAGGCTTCAAGTCAAGGGTACTTAAAATATTAAAGTAGAAAATATATATATATTGAAAAGCACCGACTAAGCTTCAGACTTTTTGAGCACTCAGAAGGTACTTTTTCCTTACTATGGCTTAAGTTGCATTGAGACATTAACTATAACAAAATCTCAAACAAAGTATCAAACAATTCAGATAGTCTGCTTAATTTTCTAAAACACAAACTGTTTCAAGATGTTTCAGCTTCTGATTTAAACCATTATTAATTTCTCTTACCCCAAAGAAAATATACTTCTTTCAAAATTATCTATTGCAACTTACCATTCCTGGTGATTTAATTTCCTACCACTGCACCCATAATTCAATTACTCAGCCAGTGGAACAGGGCAGTAACTCACCCCAAAATAAGAAAGGGCAGAGTTTCAAGAATATAACCATTAAAGGAAAAGGAACAGCAGCAAAACTGTTGGGGAATTTAAAAATGACAACCTTTCAATATGTACCTTGACTGCCAATGCTCTTATCAAAACTTTCAATGGCACCATCAGGTTCCCCAAAGTTTAACTGTGCTCTACCAAGGGTGACCCAAGCCTGAGAGAAACCACTCTCATAAGATAAAATAACAATTTGACATAAAACACAACAATAAAAATCTATTTTGCACAGATAAAGGATGGCCAAATCTTTCTTATAAACCAGCATGTAAAAAAAGAAAGAGAGAAAGAAACGTAAGCAATATAAACCAGAAACAAATGATGAACAATTAGATTATAACCCTAAGAAGAGCATGCTATGTTAACTGGAGCCTTAAAAGGCATAAACATACCACCACAATAAGTTAAAGGTAAGTTACAGGAACAAATATATAGTCACTTTGAACAATTCATTTAATTTAGTACCATTATTGTTTGCTGCTCTAAGAACATTGAACAGACAAACACTAAAAGGTAATTTTCAAGATTTGTCTTAGCATAGATTCCTGCCATGGATTAGTAAGAGGAAAACCCAAATTACACTTATAAAGTGCAACCTTGAGCACAATAGATGCTTATCCGTAGTAACGTCAAAGGAACTTGATCTGAATATATGCTTCTAGCTCTTATGGAAGTTGGAAAAATGAATTCAAAACTGAAGCTAAAAGCCACTTTTATTCGTAACCAGAATTTTAATACAATGCTCTCATAGACCCTATGCTCACTAGCATGCCAGCAACAATAAGAAAGAATCCCATATAAATACAGAATTTCATTCGTAACCTAAAGGAAAGAGCTACCCGCAACTCCCAAGTCCCAACAAAGGCCAGCTTTTATGAAATTAAAATGAGTTTTCTGAAACATAGGTGAGTCTAACCCTAAGTCACGTGAATGAATTCAATTTCAGCAGTTATGCACTTCAACTTAAAATGTCAACCAGCAAAATGTTTATTGAACAGATTCATAAAGAGAGATTTGACATGTTTAAAAAGGGACGAATTGACATCACATATGTAGAGAGGAATGATAATATGATATAGCCAGTGCTAACATTGCATTCATGATGTACATTGTTTACATACCTCGGTCCATGAAGGTTCCAAATCAGTTGCCCCTGGCAAGAAGAACCCAAAAGTAAATATACTAAGTCCTCTTGAAAATTATACATTTATACTATGAAAAGGAGAAGTAAGGAAGAACTGAGACAGACGAGTTGCTGCCTTCAATGCACTCCATCATCAACATCTTCAAGTAGAACTTGGGCCTTCTATTCGTGAAGAACTGCATTTTCAGGTGCCAAATCAAGAGCTGCGTCCCACTTCCCAATTGCATCCCGGTATTTCCCATCCTTCAAAAGTAAAAAATATGCAATTAAAACAAAATAGAATTTGAGACAGAGAGCATTAACAAGCATTTAAACCTTCAATTAATTAACTTCATGAATACCCATTTCGAAATTCAATTAAGTTCTATGCATTTCACCGCTAAAACCTAGATTCTAGAAACAAAAAGTATAGATTTTGAAAAGGAAATCAGAAAGGAAAATAAACGCACCTGGGCGAGCCTGTTGCCTTGGGCTTGAAACGACTGAGCAAGCTGTTTTGTGTCTGCGTCCAAAGAGTCGCCGGAGAGTTGCTCTTGAATTTGAGAAGCCGCTTTAACGTTACCGTCTTCTTTCAGCCGGTTTGTATCAGCTTCGTGTTGGGTTTCCTGCTCCAAAGGAAGGTTTGGGTATTGCAATATTGCTTCCGACGACCGCTTCTTGCTGTTCTTGTCCTTGTTCAATGTTAGCTTCACCTTTCTTCTACCTCCGTTTTACCCAGAAGTAGATTTAGAAGCCAAAAAGGAGGATTTTCTCGTTCGAACCTTTCTTGGGTCTCTGAATATGGCTTCTTAGGTAGTTATGTTATGGGCTGGCCAACATTAAGTATCTGTAATGAGGTCCAATAATTGGCCCAAATATTGGGCTATACTTGTTTGCAAGCATTTGCTGGGCTAAAATGCTAGTTGGCCTTTTCTTAGCAAATCAGGACACTAATTTTACCACTTTTCTTAATCAACAGCAGTAACTTCCAATTTCCAAATGAAAATTCTCGATTCAATTATTTAAGTCAAGTTGAAGGTTCAACTTTTTTTTTTTTTTTTTTTTCATCCCAAAATTTCTCCAATAGATCATATTGCATCATATTGCTAAAAGTGTATTTGTAACCTTTACACAACGGGTTCAAACTTCATTAAGAAAAAGGGGCAAAAGCAATTGGATAGAGAGCTACGTTTAACACGTTCAAAATTTTTCATATATTTCTTTTTAAGATTGTTTAACTTGTATTCTAAGAACACGAGCTAATAGTTTAATAAATATATTTTTTTATAATTAATTTATATAAAAAATTATAAATATTGACTTTAAATTAATCAACTAACCAATTAAAATTCGTGATCTTGACCTTACGTGTTTGAATATATGTATAAATGTATATATACATATATATATATATATATATATGAAAATAGATTAAAAAATATGGGATAACTTTTCTTTTTTTTCAAATGCTTCTCTACCTATCTCATGATTTGAGTTTAAGATTTTTAATATAAAAACTTAAGTTTTTAACTACTAAAACGTTCACTTAAAAATCATGTTTATAAAATGGCACATGAGTCACCTCTATGTCAAAGATTATAATAAATAAATTTAAGTATTTACTTGTTATATCAAATATTTATAAGTCACTAGAGTTGTATATTCTCAGCATTTTTCATACTACATTTGCCTTTTAACAAAAGAAGTATTCAAGTACATACCAAGGACAATATATTGAAAATTAGGAAGAGAAACCTATGGACAAGAATGTGATCTCTTCCATCCCCCATTGTTTCTCTTGGCTTTATGATTGGCACTAACTTAGATCGGTATCAACCAATCACCAAGAAACTTTTGTTTATGGTACAGAGTTATGCGACAACTTCTTTCATCTCCATTCTTTCTTCTGGATGAATCATTATTCCTCAAACAGAGTAAGCATCTCCCATTGTGAATTGCAAATTGTACTTGGTTTGGTAAGTGTTGTAAACAATACTCAAGCCAATCAGATTTATCAGATGTTTCACCAAGCAAGTACTTTGCCTCTTCAACATCCAATGCATCATTAACCCAAGGATGCTTTGTCATCCTTCTCAATCCTTCTAATTCCATAGCCACTTCCTTCATTGTAGGCCTTTCCTCCCCTTTGATACTCAAGCATATCTTTGCCAGGTTAGCTACCTTACTAAGTTGCTCAATATTTGCTTCATTCACTATACAACCATCAAGAATTTTTTGTAAGCAATTATCTTTCATTGCAAAAAGAAAATACATGGAAAGATTTCTCTCTTCCTTTATCCTGTTAAAGGAAAGTACCTTTTCTCTAGTCAAAAGCTTGAGAAAGATGACTCCAAAGCTATAAACATCACTTTTCTCAGTTAATTAGCTTGTATGCAAGTACTCAAGGTCCAAGTATCCAATGGTTCCTTGAACAACTATAGATAATGTAGCTTGGTCTTTTGGAATTAACCTCAAAGTACCAAAATCAAATACTTTTGCTATGTAGCTACTATCTAAGAGTATGTTTGTAGACTCTATATCTCTATGAATGATTGGTGTAGAGGCTACAAAGTGCAAATATGATAACACTTCTTCAGTTTCTACTGCTATCCTTAAACGAATTTCCTAGCTCAATAATGAAGCCTTACTTTTATTGTGGTTGTGATGGTGGAGAGTACCATTGGTAATGAATTCATAAACTAGGAATGGAACTTCTATCTCTAAGCAACAACCTAACAACTTCACCACATTTCTATGGTTGATTTGTGAAAGAACAACCACTTCATTTATGAATTGCTCATTTTGATTTTGATTTTGATCAATGATATGGGACTTCTTGATTGCAACAATTCTCCCATCTATTAGACAGAGTTCCTTTGTAAACTGTCCCATAACCTCCTTGACCAAGAATTCTACTTTCATCAAAGTTGTTTGTGGCCTTCTCAAGTTCTTCAACTGTAAAAATTTTAGCTGTTTATGCATATCCTTTTGAGTTGGATAGTAGTTGTTGCAATTCCAAACCTCCATTTTGCATGAAGAACTTTTGTTTAAGTTTGATGAGCTTCCATTTATTATATCCCTGGGACAACCAAGTGCCACTTACTAGCAATACTGCAAGGTCTACCCCAATCCCGACATTAAGTCAAAGAAGTAAGAATGATCATGAGAGTCACAAGACATGTTTTCCAACACAACCTTGTCCACCTTTTTTTCCATCACCATTGGGGCACAAACATTTATAACTTCCTACTGTGTTGACATAGAACTTTTCACAATCATTGTGTTTAGGTTCTGTACATTCATCTATGTCTGCCAAAGAGTGGAACCCATCAGAACAAGAACTACACTTTTGACTAAAAACTTAATGAATTATGAATTTATATGAAACACATGTAGCATGAATATAAATTTGAACATAATCCAAAAAAATGGATGCAAAGGAATATGAATAAATGGGTTACCTTGGCAACCATTAGGTAGGAATGGATTTCCATTAAAACCCTTTAAGCACTTGCATCGATATCCATAACCATTGTCAACAGGAATGCAAGGGCTGTTTCCCTGGCATGCATTGGCTTTTGTAGTTTCACATGTATGGTTGACATCTCAAATTGACCAATCAAGCACCACAGGGAGTTCACTTACATTTTGTAAATCACGAAGATAATTTGAAGAAAAGTTGAACTCACTTTCTTCCACAATGAAGCCATAGCTGCAAGGGTTGAACTTCCAAACTCTTGTATGATTTTTTTACTGGTCACTATTACACTGATGTAGTTGTTCCTTTGGCAATGGATGTTTGGCAACAGCCAATACCAGAACATGTGTAATTTGTTACATAGTCAATGCTGTCACATTCGGTTATGCAACCTGCAATGTAGCCTTTATTCCGTTTGATACCTTAGACACATTCTACATATATCACAGCCAATAGCAACAAACTTGTTATTAGCATCAGAGATAGTATAACTATATAAATTTACATGGAGCCAAGGATTATTGCTGTAAGTTGGTTCACCAGACTTATTATAGAAATTATGGGCTATAAATTTCATTATGTGCAGCTTCCCTTCACGATCTATGTTGGTGACATTGATTGTACTATTAGCTAGAAATGCTAATGGGGGATTGAAAGTGTCATTGCAAATTATGAGAAAATTGTCATTGTAGTAACATCCTTCTGTTGAACCAAATGGATATGGGATACTTACATTACCTCACTTGTCTGGACAACCAGGTTTTGCAATAGGAGCTGATTCTGCTGCAATTGCCGCTAATGGTGCT